CTACTCAGGAGGCTGAGGCAGGAGAATCGCCTGAACCCGGGAAGCAGAGGTTGCAGTGAGCCGAGATCGTGCTACTGCACTTCAGCCTGGGTAACAGACTGAGACTGTTTCAAAAAATAAAAAGAAATAAAAACGTTTATATATATATTTTTCTCCTCTCATCACCTCTCTTCCTTCCCTTTCCCGACCTCTGGCAATGACCAATCTACTCTCTATCTTCATGAGATCCACTTTTTTAGCTCCCACATATAAGTAGAACATGCAATATTTATCTGTCTGTGCTTGGCTTATTTCACTTAATATAATGACCTCTAATTTCATTTATGTTTCTGCAAATGATAGGATTTCATTCTTTGTTCTGGCTGAATAATACTCCATGGTGTGTTTTTGGTGGAATCTTTAAATTTTTTCTAGGTATAAGATTATGTCCTCTGCAAGCAAGGCTAATTTGACTTCTTTCAGATTTAAACGCCTTTTACTTCTTTTCTTGCCTAATTGCTCTGGCCCAGCATGTACTCTTTTGTCTTGCTTCATTTAATCAGCATAATTTTTGAAATTCATCCATGTTGTTTGCAAAAATAGTTCATTCCTTTTCATTGCTGCAAAGTATTCCATCGAATGGATATGTCATAATTTGTTTATCCATTTTAGCAGTTGATGGCAATTTTCTTCCAATTTTGGGCTGTTACAAACAAAGCTTCTATGAACATTTGTGTACAAGTCTTCATATGGATATATATTTCCTTTTCTCCTGGGGAAACACCAATGAGTGTGATGGCTACATCATACGGTAAGTGTATGTTTAATTTTACCATCATGAGAGTGCCATTTCCTCCACACCTTCACCAACACTTGTTATAGCCACTCTTTTTATTGAAGTCATCCTTATGGATATATAATGGTTTCTCACTGTGGTTTTAATTTGCATTTTTCTAATGACTTACATTGTAGAGCATTTCTTCATGTGCCTATTTGCCATCTGTATGTCTTCTTTGATGAAATGCCAATTAAAATATTTTGACCATTTTTCAAATTAGTTTGTTTGTTGAGTTTTGGGAGTTCTTTGTTTATTCTGAATATAAATGCTTAATGAAATATATTCTTCACAAATATTTTCTCCTTGTCTGTGGCTTGTCATTTTATTTTTTAAAAGTGTCTTTCAAAGTGCAAAAGCATTTAATTTTGATGAAGTCCAACTTATTGAGATACAGAATGTACAAGGTACTCATGTACAAGAACTTTGAATGTATAAGAACTTTGTTATTTTATGGATCATGCTTTTGGTGTCAGATATGAAAAATCTTTGATATGATATTCAAGGTCAAATAGTTTTTCTATGTTTCTTTCTTCTAGAAGTTTTGTAGTTTTAGGCTTTATATTTAGATCCATTTTTGTGTTTTTTTTTAAAAAATACATGATTACAAGTATGTATCCAAGTTTGTCTTTGTGCATATGGATATCCAGTTGTCTTAACACCATTTGTTGAGAAGACTGTCTTTTGTCTACCGCATTTTATTTGCAATTTTGTCAAAATTCAAATACGTATGGGTTTATTTTTTGACCCTTTCTTCTATTTCACTAATCTATGTGACTATTTTGATGCCAACACCACACTGTCTTGATTAATGTAGCTTCATAATTCTTGAAATCTGGTGGTCCTAACTCTTTAACTTTGTTCTTCCTTTTCAGAGGTGTGTATGTGTGTGTGTGCATGCATGTGTGTTGTGTATGTGTGTGAATTCTAGCTTCTTTGCAGCTCCCTATGAACTTTATAATTAGCTTGCCAATTTGTACAGAAAAGCTTCCTGATACTCTAGCTGGGGTTGTGTTGAATATATGCAGCAATCTGGGGAGAATTCATATGTTAATAATATTTCCTGATCTTTTAAAGATTTATATATAATATTTGTACATACTTATGGGGTTCATGTGATATTTTTGATAGGAACAGGAGTCAGAGAAATTCCAGGCAGAAAAGGGCAGGGTCCTGGCAAGGGCTCCACCCTTAATCCTAGAATCATGGCCTAAAGTGAGAACTTTACATCCTTGTTTTCCTGCTTGAATGTTGCCTTTTCAAAAACCACCCCTGGCCCACTCTGCACCCCCATCCTGTATCCATAAAAACCCCAGGCTTCACTGGCAGAGAGCAGAGAAAGGGAGAGGAGAAGAAGCAGTTGAACGTCAGAGAGAAGCAGTTTGACTTCAGAGGCATGGCTTGATGGTGGGAGAAAAATACCTTCCTGCTCCATCCCCTTTCCAGCTCCCCTTCTAACTGAGAGCCACTTTCATTGGCAATAAAATCCACCATATTCACCATCCTTCAATTCATTCATGCAGCCGGGTTTTTCTGGATGCTGAATAAGAGCTCAGGTGGCCACGGTTGTGGACACTAAAGGCTGTCACACTGACTCTCTGCCCTCACTGCTGGAGAGCAACCACCTCAAGTGAAAAGGTACTTAAATGTTAAACTGAACTGTTTAACACTTAAGCTGTCCATGGATGGCAAAGCTAAAAGAGCATACTGTAACACACATACTTTGGGGCTTTGGGGATCATGAGTACTCCCTGCTTGGCACTGCCTTGGGCCTGTATGGAATTTTGCTCCTGCTGGCACCCAGAAGCACTCGCCTTGGCTCCTGAACCTGCTCACCTGTGTGCACTCCCTCCCATGAGGTGTTGAGAGCTGCTGGTGGAGCAAGTGAGGCACCCTTATCATGAGGTCTGCAAAGGGATCAGGGAAAATTTCCTGTTTCATTTTATTATGTGCATAAACTGTTTAATGATCAAATGAGGGTATTTGGGGTATCCATCCCCTTGAGTATTTATCATTTCTATGTTTTGGAAAAATTTCAAGTCCTCTCTTCAAGCTATTTTGAAATATAAAAGACATTGTTAACTGTAGTCACCCTACTTTGTTATCAAACATTAGCGCTTATTCCTTCTATAAAGCTGAATGTTTGTACCCATTAACCGATCTCTGTGTGCACCACACAGGGGGAATACCCTTCCTAGTCTCTACTATCTATCATTCTATTCTCTGCTTCCATGAGATTAACTTTTTTAGCTCTTACATTTGAGTGAGAACATGTGATATTCTTCTTTCCATGCCTGGCTTATTTCCCTTAACATAATGACCTTCAGTTCTGTCCAAGTTGTGGCAAATGATAGGATTTCATTTTTTTAATGACTAAATAGTATTCCATTGTGTATATATACCACATTTTCTTTATTCATTTGTCCACTGATGGATACTTAGGTTGATTCTATATCTTTGCTGTTGTAAATAGTGCTTCAATAAGCATGGAGTGGAGGTATCCTTTTGATATACTTTCTTTTCCTTTGGATAAGTACCTAGTAGTGAGATTGCTAGACTGTATGGCATTTCTGTTTTCAGTTTTCTGAGAAATCCCCATACACTTTTCCATAGTGTCTGGTCTATTTTTTGTACCCACAAGCAGTGTATAAGAGTTCCCTTTTCTTTTCTTTTCTTTCTTTTTTTTTTTTTTTTTGAGATGGTGTTTCGCCCTTGTTACCCAGGCTGGAGTGCAATGGCGCTATCTCGGCTCACCGCAACCTCCGCCTCCTGGGTTCAGGCAATTCTCCTGCCTCAGCCTCCTGAGTAGCTGGGATTACAGGCATGTGCCAATATGCCCAGCTAATTTTTTGGATCTTTAGTAGAGACGGGGTTTCACCATGTTGACCAGGATGGTCTCGATCTTTTGACCCTCGCGATCCACCCGCCTTGGCCTTCCAAAGTGCTGGGATTACAGGCTTGAGCCACCACACCCGGCCTAAGAGTTCCCTTTTCTCTCTTTTTTTTTTTTTTTTTTTTGAGACCGAGTTTCACTCTTGTTACCCAGGCTGGAGTGCGATGGCGCGATCTCGGCTCACTGCAACCTCCGCCTCCTGGGTTCAGGCAATTCTCCTGCCTCAGCCTCCCGAGTAGCTAGGATTACAGGTACGTGCCACTATGCCCAGCTCATTTTTTGTATTTTTAGTAGAGATGGGGTTTCCAGGATGGTCTCGATCTGTTGACCTCATGATCCACCCGCCTCGGCCTCCCAAAGTGCTGGGATTACAGGCGAGTTCCCTTTTCTCTACATCCTCACCATCATCTGTTACTTTTTGTTATTTAATCATCTTTCTAACTGGGGTAAGAGAATATCTCATTGTGGTTTTGATTTGCGTTTCCCTAATGATTAGTGATGTTGAGTGTTTAAATATATATCTGTTGACTATTTCTATGTCTTCTTTTGAGAAATGTCTATTCATTTCCTTTGTCCATTTATTAATGGGATTTATTATTATTTTTTTTTACTGTTGAGTTCCTTGTACATTCTGGATATTAGTCTCTTGTCAGATGGACAGTTGGCATATATTTTATCCCATTCTGTGGGTTGTTTTCTGTGCACAAACTTTTTAGTATAATATAGTGCTATTTGTTTATTTTTATTTTTGTTGCCTGTGCTTTTGAGGTCTTAGCCATCAAAATCTCTGTTTAGACCAATATCCTGAAGTGTTTCCCCTACATGTTTTCTTCTAGTAGTTTTATAGTTTGGGGTCTTATGTTTAAGTCTTTAATCCATCTTGAGCTGATTTTTGTATATGGTGAGATATGGGGTCCAGTTTCATTCTTCTGCATAGGGATATCCAATTTTCCCAGCACCAGTGATTGAATAGAGTGTCCTTTCCCCAATGTATGTTCTTGGAATCTTTGTCAAAAATCAGTTGACTGTAAATACGTGGATTTATTTCTGGGTTTTCTATCCTGTGATAATTCTTAACCAATACAAGGCATATCTCTAGGTTTACAGTTGTCTTTTTAAATACTTTGAATATATTGCTCCATTGTTTGTCTTCTTGCTTGCATCGTTTCTGATGAGAAATTTGTGTTATCTTCATCTTTATTCCTCTATATGTGACATTTTCCCTATACTTTAAGATTTTCTTTATTACTGGTTTTGAACAATTTTATTATGATGTGTCTTGGTATAGTTTAATTGATGTTTCTTGTTCTTGGAGTTTATTGAGCTTCTTGGATCTATGGATTTATAGTTTTCATCAAATCTAGAACATTTAGGATGTTATTTCTTCAAATATTTTTCTGTGTATTCTTTTCTTCAGGAACTTCAATTGCATGTATATTAGGCTGTTTGAAGTTGTTCCATGGTTTACTGGGTTCCTTTTATTTTTTTTAAATGATTTTTCCTTTGTGTGTTTTATTTTGGATAGTTTCTATTGCTGTGTCTTTAAGTTCACTAATATTTTCTCCTGCAGTGACTAATCTGCTGTTAATCTCATCAAGTATATTTTTTATTTCAAACATTATAGTTTTCATCTCTAAAAATTCAATTTGGGTCTATAAAAATATACTTTCCATGTGTCTAGTTAACTTTTAAAAAATATAGAATGTTTTCAAAATATTATAATAATATAATACAATATGCTAAAATATAGTAACAATGTCCTTCTTTGCTTGTTCTGATATTCATGTTAGTTCTAGATTGGCTATGACTGATTTTTTGCCTCACTATGGGTTATGTTTTCCTGCTCTTTTTTATGCCTATTAGTCTCTTATTGGATAACATGCATTATGAATTTTACCTTGTTGGTTGCTAGCTATTTCAGTATTCCTAAAAATGTTCTTGAGCTTTGTTTAAAAAAGCAGTGAAATTATTTGAAAACAGTCTATTTTTTGTGTCTTGCTTTGAAGATGAGTTGTACAGAACCATAGCTGTTTATAGTGTTAGGCTAGTTATCCCTCACTATGAAGGCAAACCTCTGAGTACTCTACTGAATGCCCTGTGGAGCTTGAGGCTTTACAATCTGGCTGGGAGGAACAGGCACTATTACTGGCTTTCAGAACCTGAAGCTGTTACCTCAACTGCCCTTGAATGCTTATTCCCCTGGCCTTGGATAATGCATGTACTGCTCAGTGCTTTGCCAAATACTCTGGGGGGGGACTCATCAGATAGCTCCAGAGTTCTCTGTGTAGCTGTATACTCTTTGGAATCTGCCCTGCACACTGCAGACACCTTAGTATCTACAAAGTTCTGTCTCTCAACTCAAATTTGGCAGACCTCTGCCTTGCTTCCCTCTCCCTCCCTGCCCTACAGCCTGGACTCTCCAGACAGCGAGACAGGGCAGCTGTAGGCTCACTTGTTTGTTTTTTGTCTCACAGGGATTTTGTTTTTTTGCCTGATGTCCATTGGCCTGAAAACTGTTGTTTCATAATTTTTTTTCCGGCTTTTGGTCATGTCAGGTGAGAGGGTAAATCCACACCCTGTCATTCAAGCGTGCTAGAAGTGTTGCCTTTTAAATATATTATTTTTTTCTTTTAAAGCCCACATGAAAGGAGCCTTCCTCTGTAACAACAACCAACAGCTTGACAATGTGTGTTCCCATTATCCTGTGAATGCTCTACTTTTCAAAGTAAGCCTGCGAGGTGGGTGTCATGTCATCCCCATTTTACAGATAAGGAGACAGAACCTCAGAGAGGTGAAGGGACTTGTCCAAGATCTCACAGTCTATAAAGGCAAAGCCAGGATTAAACCCATGTCCCCATTAATACTTGTTGTTCCCAGAGGAGAAACAGAACCACATGAAGGGCTGGTATCATTATATTTTTGTGGGGAGAGATCAATAAATGTGGGTTCAGAGAGTTAATATTTCAAGGCCTACAGGGCTAATGAGCCTAGGAGTTTGTGGAGAGTCAGAGATCTCCATGGGTTGTGTTTCTAGTTCCCCCACCAACTTCTTCAGATAAGGGAGTGTACCTTTTACCTCATGTATCCTTCCAGATAGGAGAATTGGGCTTTTTGCCAGAGCTGTAGATATGGGGGTCTGGAACTTGGACTGGATTTACGAGCATTCATGGAAAGTGGAGAGGAGGGATTAGGGAAGAGGTAAGGGGTAAGGACTACTAGCTGCTCAAGTTGGGATGGTCAGGGAGGCAAGGGAAGGGAGGAGGGCATACCAGAAGCCAATGAGTAGGCTTGCAGGAGCTATGGGTGGATGACGTGGCCTCGCGGGACAGGAGCTAGGTCCAGCTGTCTCCCATTGTCTCCTGGCATGTAGAATTATCCCTGCTCCTCCCCTTTCTCTGAGTGAGAAAGGTGGGAAATAAAATAATGAAGCTGTGAGTAGGTGAGGTGTTAGGGAGACAGCTTGCCAGGGTGGGCAGCACAGATGACTGGCGGGTGGGGAGGGAGGTGGTGGGAGGTTAATGTGCAGATCCTCAGATCTCTGAGAAGCAAGGTGGAGGGGACGCAGTCTGGTGTGCAGAGTTGCAGGTGGGGGCACTGGTGGGTGCTACACTGAGGCACAGGTGTTTCCTGGGAAGAAGGTGATGTGGTCTTTTTTTGGCTATGGAGGAGATTTTGAAATGTACTTGGGTAATTTATTTTTAGTGAGATTTCCTTCTGACTATGTTATTTAAAGTGTAGAATAGAATGGAACATAGTAGCTGCCATTTATTAAGTATCTACCATATGCTTGGAATGTATCTCATGTACATCAACCCACTTCATATCACATTTACCCTGTGAGGTAGGTTCTGCTACTAATTCCATTTACAGGTGAGGAGTCTGTGTCTCACAGATATGGTGGTTCGTTCAAAACCCCTCTGTATTTATTTTATTTTATTGATTTGAGATGAGAAAGATGTTCATGGGGGAGTCAGAGCCTGCTTCCATAGAAATCATCCAGTATTTTTCATTGTTTTGTTTCTTCCCAGGGCCTGCTCTTCCACTTGTTAAATTCGGAGCTGGAAGGTGGGGTGGGATGGGGGTTTGAGAAAGAAAGCTAGGATTAAAGACACAATGGATGCCCAAGAGAAAAGGAAACTCAATTGTACCTTTTCATAATAACCCTGTTTGATAAATACCATTGAGAGAACTCCAAATATTTTGTCCACCTAAGAGCAACCCTCTGTGTTCAGGGAAACAGGAGCTGTATCTCCAGCACTGCCTCCCTGCCTGGGGATGGGCATTTGACTCTAGCTGTGCCCATCATACCATTTCACCTCCATGGCAATAGTAATTGGTCAAGGCATGAGCACATGACTCAAACCAGGCCAATCACATCCTTTTCTGAGATTTTTTATTTAAAATTGGAGCAGCTCATAACCCTGTTTACCCTTTAGCAAAGGGTAATGGTGGGTCTTCTTAGATCATCTGATGGACACATTCTTAACCTGGTGGAGACACTGACTTGAACAAATTAAACAGATAGGCCAATAAAGTAAAGAAAAGATGGGGAGTTTCTCTTTTCTCCTTCCCAAAGCCCTGATTTCTGTTTAGAAGCTATGTAGTTCTAGAAACATCAACTCTCCCTGTCTCCATGACTCCAGAGGGGACCACTTGGCCTGGGCGTGCAGCACATTCCGTTTCCCCGCTGCAGAAACTGCCTAAGATGGGCAGTTACCAAGGCTGGTCCAATCAGAGTGGATTAAAGACTTGTACTGAATGCTGAGGTCCAGTGTCACTTTCCTGTTGGATGAGAACCAGAAAGCATGCAGCTACCCAGTGAGCCTCCATTTTGGGACGAGCAAGCAAGCCAGTCTTAGAATAAGTTTGAGTCTTTTTTTTTTTTAATAGTTTGTATTTATTTATTTATTTATTTTTTAAGATGGAGCTTCACTCTGTGTACCAGGCTGGAGGGCAATGGTGTGATCTTGGTTCACTGCAACCTTTGCCTCCTGGGTTCAAGCTATTCTCTTGCCTCAGCCTCCCAAGTAGCTGGGATTACAGGCTCCCGCCACCACTCCTGGCTAATTTTTTGCATTTTTAGTTGAGACAATGTTTCGCCATGTTGGCCAGGCTGTTCTCGAACTCCTGACCTCAGGTGATCCACCTGTCTCGGCCTCCCAAAGTGCTAGGATTACAGACGTGAGCCACCATACTAAGCCTGAGATTGATTCTTAAGGAGGAGACACAAGCAGAGGTCCTGAGTCTAGCCAGTTCTTCCGCAAAGCCCATCCTATCTGTAGCTCTTCCTTATATGGGAGTCATAAATCCCCTCTATGGTTTAAAGTATAAACACAAGCCTCTCAACTGACAAGTTAGTCTTGATGCTATTTGAGTTCTGGATCTTGTCAGCTCAAAAGCCATGTCCATGGGTTTTTCCCTCACCAGTGATTTGTTATATGAGTGATTACACTCTTGTTTTTCTTAAAAAGTATATTTTAACAATTTTAATGAAAACTTAGAAACATGCAAAGTAGAATAGTGTCAGGTTGGTGCAAAAGTAGTTGTGGTTTTTGCCATTACTTTCAATGGCAAAAGCCACAACTACTTTTGCACCAAGCTAATATAATGCATGTGTTCTCAACCAGGGTTTAAGAGGGTTTCAAAGGGGGCAAAAATTTGTTCTTGGGGAGGGAGTGAATAAATCTTAGGCAAATCTCTAAATAAGATACTTTTAAGGCTGGACATGGTGGCTCACACATAATCCTAGCACTTTGGGAAACTGAGGTGGATGGATTGTTTGAGATTAGCCTGGGCAACGTGGCAAAACCCCATCTCTACTACAAAAAATACAAATATTTAGCTTGGGACGGTGGTGTGCACCTGTAGTTTCAGCTATTTGGGAGTCTGAGGTGGGAGGACTGCCTGAGCCCAGGAAGTCAAAGCCACAGTGAGCAGTGATTGCCCCACTGTACTCCAGCCTGGGTGACAGAGTGAGACCCCTATCTCAAAAAAAAAAAAAAAAAAAAGAAAAAATTGTAACCACAATATTATCACACCTAAAAAATTTACATTTTCTTAATATCGCAAAATACACAATGTTCAACTTTGTTTGTTTGTTTATTTTTGTTTTTGAGACAGAATCTTGTTCCATCGCCCAGGTTGGAGTGCAGTTGCGCGATCTCGGCTCATTGCAACTGCTGCCTCTTGGGTTCAAGCGATCCTCAGCCTCCTGAATAGCTGGGACTACAGACATGCACCACTACATGTAGGTATTTTGTTGTTTTTTGTATTTTTAGTAGAGATGGGGTTTCACCATGTTGGCCAGGCTGGTCTTGAACTCCTGGCCTCAGTGCTGGGATTACAGGTGTGAACCACTGTGCCCAGCCTCAAGTTTCTAATTGGATGTCTGAATCAGATTCAAATTAGGATCATTGCCATTAGTTGACAGATATCTTAAGTCTATTTAACATAAAGTTCTCCACGGGTTCTTTTTCTTTTTTCTTGCAATTTACTTGTTGAAGACACTGGGTCATTTGCCTGTAGAGTTTCTCACAGGGTGGATTTTGTAGATTGCATTCTTGTGGTATCACTTAACATGTTCCTCTGTGCTTTAAGTTGTTGCTCATCTTTATTGAGGTGTGGTTGATTTACAGTAAACTGCATATGTTTAAAGTATACAGTTTTATAAATTTTCACAGATGTATACATTCATGAAACCATTACCACAATTGAGATAGTGAACATAGCCATTGTCCCAATGGTGTCCTCTTGACTGTCATCACTCCCCCATGGATGCCACCCTCCCATAAGAAAACACTGTTCTGATTTGTGTTACTATAATTTAGTTTGCATTCCTTAGTGTTTTAGATAGAATCATAGAATATGGACTTTTTTTGTCTGGCTTCTTTCACTCAGCATAATTATTTTTGAGATTAACTATGTTGTTTGCATAAATATTTTATTCCTTTTTATAGCTAAATAATATTCAATTGAATGGCTATATCATTTGTTGATGGCCACCTGAATTGTTTTCAGTTTTTGGCTATTACAAACAAAGCTGCTCTGAACATTTGTGTACAGCTTTTTATATGGGTATATATTTTCTTTTATCTTGGGAATTTCCTAAGAGTGGAATCGCTGGATCACATGGTAAGCATATGTTTAACTGCACTGCTGTGAGAATGCTATTTCCTCTACGTTCTCACCAATACTTGTTATGGTCAGTCTTTTTCATTTAACCCATTCTATTAGGTTGGTGCAAAAGTCATTGCGGGTTTTGCTCTAGAAAGTAATGGCAAAAACTGCAATGACTTTTGCACCAACCTAATAATATGTGTGTAATTTTGTGTGTGTGTGTGAATTCTAGCTCCTTTGCCAGAATTTTAAAATTAGCTTGCCAATTTGTACAAAAAAAGCTTCCCGATATTTTGATTAAGATTGTGTTGAATATAGGGATCAATCTGGTGAGAATTGACATGTTAAATATTGACTATTTTTACCCAATAGCGAGGTATATCTTTCTACTAGCTTGTCTTTGAGAGCGTCTTTCAGCAAGGTGTCATAGTTTAGAGTGTACTAGTCTTCTGCACCTTTTGTCAATGGTCTCCATTTCACATTTTTAATGTGAAAATGATATTTTAAGAAGTTGTAATTTCTGATTCCTCCTGGCATACAAACATATAATTGCCTTAGTCTACACATCTTGTATCCTGCGATCTTGCCCAAAGTGATTTATTAGTACTAGTAGCTTTTTTTGCAGATTTATTTGGATTTTCTACATACACAAATACAGTTTTACTTCTTCCTTTCTAATCAGGATGACTTTTATGTATTTTTTTTCCTTTTATTACTGGCTACAAACTCCAGTGATAGCTTGTCTTGTCTTGTTTCTGATCTCAGGAGGAAAGCAGTCAGTCTTTTATCATTAAGTGTGGTATTTGTAGTGGGTGGTTTGCAGATGATTTTTATCAGGTTAAGTTCCTTTCTATGCCTAGTTTTCTAAGAGATTTTTTTCTAAAAAAAATCAGGAATGGGCACTGAATTTTTTTTAATGCTTTTTATATCTGTGTAAGTGATCATATGGTTTCTGTTTTTTAGTTGTTACTATTGTGTGTTACATTGATTGATTTTTCTAATAATGACCAACCTTTAATTTCAGACACATAGTCAGTCCAATTGGTTATTATTCTTTTAGTATGTTGTCAGATTCAAATTGCTAAAATTTGTTTAGACTTTTTTTCCCCCTATCTGTATTTATGAGTGTTATTGGTCTGTAGTTTTCTTTTCTCACCATGTTTTTTCCTAGTTTTGGTATCTGGGTAATGCTTTCTTCATGGAACAAATTGGGGGGTTATTTGCTCCTCTTCAAGTTTTTGGAAGAGTTTGTGTAGAACTGGTGTTTCTTCTTCCCCCTAAATATTTGATAACATTCACAATGAAGTGATATGGACTGGAAGTTTTCTTTGTGGGAAGGTTTTAACTACAACTGCAACTTCTAAAATAGATAAAGCGCTATTCTCCTTAACTATTGCTTCTTCAGTGACCCTTTGTGGTTTGTATCTTTCAGTGAATTTGTCTACTTAATCTAAGTTTTCAGACTTCTCGGTATAAAGAGTTCACAGTGTTCTCTTATCCTTTTAATATCTGTAGAACCCGTAGTGATAGTACTTCTCTTATTTTTGATCTTGATAGCGTTTATTTTCTTTCCTTTTTTCCTGATCTATCTGGCTAGAAGTTTATCAATTTTATTTATCTTTTTAAATGACTGGCTTTCATTTGTATTGATTTTCTGTATTGCTTTTCTATTTTGTAGTTTATTGATGTTTACTCTCACTATTTTCTTTGATGATGATGATGATGATGATTGTTATTATTTGAGATAGGGTCTTGCTCTGTTGCCCTGGCTATAGTGCAGTAGTGTGACTTGGCTCACTGCAACCTCTGCCTCCTGGGTTCAAGTGATTCTCATGCCTCAGCCTCTTGAGTAGCTGGGACTACAGGAACATACCACCACAACTGGCTAATTTGTGTATTTTTAGTAGAAACAGTGTTTCACCATATTGGCCAGGCTGGTCTTGAACTCCTGACCTCAAGTGATCTGCCCGCTTCAGCCTCTCAGTGTGCTGGGATTACAGGCACCCAGCCACTTTGTTTATTTTAAATTTAATATCTCTTCTTATTTCTAGTTTTGTAAAGGGACAGTTGGACTCAACTGATTTAAGATCTGATTCTTTTCTTTTCTTCTTTGTTCTTTTGAGACAGGGTCTTGCTCTGTTTCCCAGACTAGAGGATAGCTCACTGTAGCCTCAACCTTCTGGGCTGAAGCAATCCTCCCATCTCAGCTTCCTGAGTAGCTGAGACTACAGGCACGTGCCACCATGCCCAGCTAATTTTGAAAATATTTTTTGTAGAGACAAGTTCTCACTATGTTGGCCAGGATGATTTCTAATTCCTGGGCTCAAGTGATCTGCCTTGGCCTCCCAAAGTGTTAGGATTATAGGCATGAGCCACTGCACCCAGCACATCTTTATTATTTTCTACTATAGGCAGTTAGTGCTATAAATTTCCCAGTAAATGATGTGTTGGTTACCTCCCATAGATTTTAATATGTTGTATTTTCACTTTCATTCAGTTCAAAATATAAATGTCTTTTGACTTTTTTCTTTGATCCATGGGTTATTTTGAAGCATGGTATTTAATTTCCCAACACTTGGGGTTTTTCCAGAGATCTTTTTGTTACTGATTTTTAATTAATTCTATTTTGGTCAGATAACACACTTCTTATGACTTGAATCCTTTTGAATTTATTGAGACTTGTTTTATGACCCGGAATGTGGCCTATCTTGATAAATGTTCTATGTACACTTGAGAAGAACGTGTATTCTGCTGTTGTTGGATGGAATGTTCTGTAAATGTCCATCAGGTCAAATTGATTGAGAGTGTTGTTCATCTTCTATATCCTTGTTGACTTTCTATACAGTTGTTCTATTCATTATTGAAGATATTAAAATTTCTGACTATAATTGTGGATTTTTTTATTTCTCCCTGTAATGCTATCAGTTTTTACTTCATGTATTTTAAAACTGTTATTAGATATATAGATGTTTAGAATTGTTATGTTCTTTTGATTAATTGCCCCCCTTTATTACAAAATGAACTTCTTTTTATCTTATAATAGTCTTTGCTCTGAAATATACCTTGTCTAATATTAATATAGCCACTCCATCTATCTTTGAACTGTGTTAACATGCTATATATTCTTCCATCTTTTTACTCTTAAGCTATTGGTGTTTTCATATTTAAAGTGTGTTTCTTATAGACAGCATATAGTCTGGTCCTGCCTTTTAAAAAATGCAATCTGATAATTCCTGTATTTTAATTGGGAGTGTTTAAGATTACTTACATTTGATGTGTTTATTAACATAGTTACTTTTAAGTCTATCACATTATTTGTGTTCTATTTTCTATCTTTCTTTGTATCCTTTTTCCTTTTGTTCTAACTTCTTTTGGATTAATTTTCATTTTGCTTTTTAAAACTGACAAATAATATTGTATATATTCATGGAAAATATAGTGATGTGTCAATACATATAATGTGTGGTGATCAGATCAGATCGGTAACTAGCATATTCATCATCTCAAACATTTTATTGTTTCTTTGCTTTGGGAACATTCAGTATCCTTCTGGATTAATTTTTTTTAATGATTCCATTTTGTTTTATTTTATTTTTTGAGACAGAGTCTTGCTCTGTTGCCCAGGCTAGAGTGCAGTGGTGCATTCTCAGCTCACTATAACCTCCACCTCCTGGGTTCAAGTGATTCTTGTGCCTCAGCCTCCTGAGTAGCGGAGATTACAGGTATGCACCACCATGCCCAGCTAATTTTTTTGTATTTTCAGTAGAGATGGGATTTCGCTATATTGGCCAGACTGGTCTCCAACTCCTGGCCTCAAGTAATTCACCTGCCTTGGCTTCCCAAAGTGCTGAGATTACAGGCGTGAACCACCGCACCTGGCCTGTGATTCCATTATACATGGTGCACTATTAGTAAATTTATTATGTATAGTTCTTTGTTTTGTTATTTTAGTAGTTGTTTTAGGGTTTACAAGGTATATGTTTACTTATTGCAATCTACAAGCAAGTACTGTTATAATACTTCATGTACCGCATAAGAAGCTTACAACAATGTGCCTCTATTTCCTTCTTCCTACTTTTTATACTATTATTGTCATGTATCTTACTTTTGCTTATGTTTTAAAATACACAA